CTCCCTCTCTCATCCTTCCCTCTTTTCCTTCCTTCCTTCCTTCCATCCTCCCTCCGTCTTTCTCCTTCCTTCCTTCCATCCTCCCTCGTCCTTCCCTCTTTTCCTTCCTTCTTTCCTCCCTCCCTCTGTCCCTCTCTTCTCCTTCCCTCTTTTCCGTCCTCCCTCCCTCCTTCCTCGCTCCCTCCCTCCTTGACTCTCTGTTGACACCCTGCTCTCTTCTCAGCTGAATTCAGCATTTGGACCCGGGAGGCTGGGGCCGGGGGTCTCTCCATTGCGGTGGAGGGCCCCAGCAAGGCCGAGATTGCTTTTGAGGACCGGAAAGACGGTTCCTGCGGAGTCTCGTACGTGGTCCAAGAACCAGGTAGATATTGGGCCGCATCGGGGTCAAGCCGGACAAAACCAACGCCGAGAATAATTGAAAAATAACGTCAAAATCAGGCTATCCAGAAAGCTCAGAGGCTCCTTCCCTCCTTCCTCTCTCCTCCGCTAGGCGACTACGAGGTCTCCATCAAATTCAACGATGAACACATCCCGGACAGTCCCTTTGTGGTCCCCGTGGCCTCGCTCTCGGACGATGCCCGGCGCCTGACCGTCACCAGCCTCCAGGTATCTGAAGGGAGGAGAATAGTGGTAGCCCAGAGCTGAACTGTGGGGGTCCTCGGTGCTCTCTGAGCTTGGTGGTTTTCTTGCAGACGTTTCGTGACCCTGTTAGGTAACTTCATCAGTGCTAGAAGAGAGAGTGGTTTGCGGTGAGGAGGAAGAAGAAGGGGGAGGAGAAAGGGAAGGGTTGGAAGAGAAGGGGGAAAGGACTAGAGGAGAAGGGGAAGAAGGAGGAAGAGTGATGGAGGAGGAGGAGGAGGGGAAAGAGAAAGAGAAGGAGAAAGGGAGAGGGGGGAGGGGGAGGAGAGCTGTGGGGTCCCCCCATCTTCAGCTGCCCCTACAGGGCAGCTATATCCCCCAGATCCGAATGGATCGGGGGAACCTTGGCGGCGAGCGCAGCAGGGATCGCGCAGTATCGCAAATCCCTGCCGCCGCCGAAACCTTGCAAACCGAAAGTCGACAGCTGTGTGTTCTTAATGGTCTTTGAGCTAGGTGGGTTTCTTGCAGACATCTCATGACCCAACTAGGAAACATCATCAATGCTAGAAGGGGTTTGTGGAAAGGAGGAACAGGAAGGGGAGGAGAAGGAGAAGGGATGGAAGAGAGAAGGAGAAGAAGGAGGGAAAGAAGGAGAGAAGAGGAAGGAGTAGTAGAGAAAAGAGCGATGGAGGAGAAGGAGAAAGAAAAAAAGAAGGAGAAAAGGAGGTGGAGAGGAAGCTCATACAATGGCGCAGCAGATTCACTTCACAAACGTCTCGCTTAGCAACAGAAACGTTGGATCTTAACTACGGTCATAAGTCGAGGACTACCTGTACCCAGGCAGGAAGCTGGGGAAGGTTGGGGCTTGGGACGTTGTGTGGATCTGACTCGGTGCCGTGTTCCTGCAGGAAACGGGTCTGAAGGTGAACCAGCCGGCTTCGTTCGCGGTGCAGCTTAATGGGGCTCGTGGCGTGATTGATGCCAAAGTCCACACGCCCTCCGGCCTGGTGGAAGAATGCTACGTCTCTGAGTTGGACAGCGGTGAGTGCCAACTTAGGGTGTGGGGGGGGGGGGCAACGTTTTGGGGGGGCTCTGTGGTTTTTTCCGTGGACCGAGGGGGGACGTGGTTTCGCACGCCACCTCCATCCCATGGATGAAGCTTCGCTTGTGTTAGATTTTTGCAGCAGAAATTCAAATCCAGAAAAGCCCACCCAGATGCCTGATTCAGCAGGATTCATTAACTTCTTTATATACGTAATAATATTTGAAGTAAAGTTTACAATACCAAGAGTAGATTCTTCCAAGGTTGGTGAAGGTTACAAGCCAAACACAAGCAGCATCTTCAGAGCTGAGAGCACAGATAAACCAGGCCCCGTCTCTCTTTAAGTTTCAGCCCCCAATTCAGCTCCCATGGGCTGACCTTGTTACCCATGTCTCTGCCAGTTCATGAATATTCTCACAGCTTATTTGCGCGGCCTGGTTTCTGGCATGCCGTGGCCCCTGGCCGGTTACCGGACCGGGAATTGGAAACCTCTGTGTTACGGCATCGTTGCAAAGTGAGGCCGTCCAAATACGTTCCCTTCCCGCCATCTTCATCCATAACCCAAGTTATAATTCTGGGTTTTTTTTCCTCGTTTTTTTCATTAGCTTAGAACAGGGGTGTCAGACTCACGTGGGATCCGGCCCGCGGGGTGCTTAGGTCTGGCCCACACCCACCCTCTCCAGGCTCTGTTATTGCTGGCAGAGGGGCTAAAAAACGAAGCTAAAACTAAAACAAAAGGAGAAACGTTTCGCTCTCTTCCATCTGAGCATGCAGGGCAGGAAAGGAGCGAGGGAAATAGGAAAGACAAAGAGAAAGGAGGGAAGATGGGAAGAAAGCAAGGAAGGGGAAAGAGGGGAAGAGGGGAAGGAAGAAGAAAGGAGAAGGAAGGGGGAAGGGAAAAGAAGAAAGGGAAGGAAGGAAGGAAGGAGAAAGGAGAATGAAGAGGAAAGGAAAAGGCAAAGGAAGGAAGAAGAAAGGAGAAGGAAGGGGAAGGGAAAAGAAG